CCCGCCATTGCCTCTGACGGGCCCTCTCTGCGCCCCTTTCGGACCTGCCGCCATCTTCGTCCACGCGGACAGCCCTGGTCCGGCCTTGCGCCGGTTCTTCATGGCCCCTGTGTCCGCCGTGATGCCGGTCGTCTGTGGCGCGCGGAGTGACGCTTGCTCCTGGCTGCTGTTCTGCTTTGGCCTCTTGACTTTGCTGCTCTATTCTTGTGTCGCTCGTCGATCTGGGTTGGAAACAGCTTTGGGCGGGAGCCGTCCAGTTGGGGCCTCCTGCTCCAGAGCTGGGGGGCGCCGTGGCGCTGGGATGCCTTCACACGGGGGCCTGCCATCCTTTCCCTGAGCCGCCCGCGCGTCCAGTGCTCACCAAGTGGCTGTCTCGGCCTGGGGGAGCTTCTGGCACATGGGCGCGTGATGTTGGGGGCCGTGGCTGTGGCCCGGTGCGCTGCCTGTGGCCGTGGCTGGGGAGAGGCCACTCGTCGGGCCGTGGCGCCCTCTCGCCCGGTGGCTCCTTCCCTGGGCCTGTGTGTCGGGGGCCCTGGGTCTCGCGCGCCTGCCTCTGACTTCTGCCGCCCTGGCCTCTGTCTAGCGTGTGGTTGGGGCTCGTAGCTCTCACTTGCAGGCTCTCCAATGGGTCATCAATGGGTCATCAAATAATTGTTGGGTAGATGCCTGCCAGCACTTGGGGCGCCCCCACCCCGCCTTTCCACTCCCGCAGCCTGGGCTCTGCCTGAGGGGAGCCTCCAGGCGGGGCCTCGGTGGTCACCCCTTCCAGAGGCCCTCGGCAGGTCACTGGGCGGGAGGGACCGAAGCTGCGGCTGCAGCTGCTCTCAGAGTTGCTGTTCTTTTGCCAGTGAAACCCAGCCCGCCCGGCCCCGTGAGCGCCAGCAAGCTGTGCCTGCTCCTGACTGCGGGGTCCGGGGTGCCCAGGGTGCCTGACCGTCGCCCTGCGGGAGTCCAGTTAGCCATTAATGAAGGCCTTTCTTTAAAAGCTGGGGGTTCATGCTCCCCTCCCCCCATGGGGGCTCTCCAGCGCTTTGATCACGTTTGCTGTGTGGAGATGAGGTGCTGTGAGGGAATGAAGCGCGCCTCGTTACCTGCGAGCTCCGAGAGCTTGCCTTCCTCTCTCCAAGCAAGAGTGCAGGGTTCAGCGGGATCAAGGCAAGGGCAGAGCCGGGAGGCACGCCCTGCCTAGCTGCCACGCATGGAGGCCTAGCCAGAAGCGGGGGTTCCACGCAGGCACGTTGTATGTGGGGTGCGGTGGTGAGGGGTAACACTCGGGACCTGGACAGCAGCGGGGACCTCTCCCCTCGCCGACCTGCTTCCTCCCTGCAGATGCTGTGGGCGGGGTGGGGGTGCGTGGCCCCCACGCTGGCCCAGCTCCTCAGCAGCACGAGAGCACGTGGCCGTGGCGGCGTGGCCTGCACCGGCGTGGGACCTGGGTGCTCCAGAGGGCGCCTTGCGGCTTGGAGATGGAGCTTCACTGTGTGAGGACCCCAGGGTGCTTTTGGGTCTGCTGGCTCGAGCCGACCTTTAACAGCGAAGCTTTAGGCTCTTCAGGCACACACTTTCCTGACACTGCTGTTCGGGCCTCACGTCTGCGGGAAAACAAAGCTCGGGCCTCCTCCTGGCTCTTGTGGTTCTTTCTCCCCTGACCAGAAGGTTTGCCTGTGAAATTTGACTTGTGTCCCTGCCTTGGAATCTCTCTGTCCTTCTGTCCACCTGTCCACTCATTTTTCTGTCTTGTTCCAAAAAGCGTTAAAAGAGGCAGCTCGCAGAATGGCGGAACGTGGCGTGAGCGGTGAGGCCGGCGGGATGGGTGCAGCGATGGCCGGCCTGGTGGCGGCCGGGATGGGGCGCAGGCCCGCGCTGAGGCACTGGGCTGAGGGCAGGGTGCCAGGCCCAGCCCCGGGAGACAGGCTTTGTGGACGTGTCTGCAGCCCGGGAGATGAAGCGTGGGCAGGAGCCCAGCTTGCCCTGCTCCTGAGGCGTAGCAGAAGGACGGGGTCATTTCTCTGGGCCCAGAGACTGCGCCCCCCGGTCAGTGTGGGCTCAGGCTGCTGACGCACGCTCCTGAGCTCCTGGCTGCGCGAGTTTGCTGGCTGGAGTTTGGGGCTGCCCAGAAACAGAAAGTGACTGCGGCAGAAGGACGCTGGCAGTTAGAGGCCGTGGTGTTGCGCCTTGCGGTGGAGCCTCCCCGTGGGGCGCCTCCCCGGCGCCGGTCTCCACCGAGGCCCCGTTCTGTGCGCGCTCAGGGCGCCGGGCCTGCAGGCGCAGCTTGCACACCGCTCGGTAGCGCCGCCCACGCGCCCCTGGTCCCGGGGTCTGTACGGCGTCCGGCAGGGAGGACCTCGCGGCGTTCACTAACCTGCCGCGGCATCGGAGGGTAAGGCTCCAGGCCCCCGGCCGGCGGCCGCTTACTCACAGGATGGGGCGCCGACGCCGTGCCTCGCCCCAGAACGCGCCCCCGAACGCACACAGGCGCGGGCGGGGCGGGCCAGGGTGACCTTTCCCCTCTGGTTTGCAGGCGCCCTCACCACCAACGGCATCAACGCGGACACCAGCGCCGAGATTGGCCGGGCAAAGAACTGCCTCAGCCCCGAGGACATCATCGACAGATACAAGGAGGCCATTTCCTACTACAGCAAGGTGCCGTCCGCCGCGTGGCCGGGCTCGGCCCTCACCTGCGCCCGTTGTTTGCGGCCGCCCTGGCGGCTCTGCCCGCGTGCCGGCCGTCCTGCTCTAATAATGCGCCTCTACTTCATTAGGCGCGGAAAGGGGCACAGGCTGGCACAGCCCCATTGCTCAGAGACCACCATCTTTTTAAAGATTTATTTATTTATGTGTAGAGAACTGGGGTACAGGCCAGAGGTGCTGGTGGCAGTTGAGAGGACAGAGTGGGGAGCAGAACAGCAGACTGACACAGTCCACTGCTGAGGGGGCCGCGGGGGGACAGCAGAGGTCCGCCGCGCCTGTGGTCACTCCC